CTCTGGAATGGGCTGCCCAGGGAAGGGGTTGAGTCCCCATCCCTGGAGGGATTTAAAAGCCAGGCAGATGAGGTGCTTAGGGTAGTGGTGGGATGGCAGGGTTAGGGGAACGGTTGGGCTTGATGATCTTAAAGGGCTTTTCCAACCTACACAATTCTATGATTCTATGACTGGTGTGGGTGCCAGGGCTGGTGTGGGTGCCCACCCCCATTGCTGCTGTGGTTTGCAGACACCGGACGGCAGCACCACGTGCCCCTACGCTGGTTTGCAGTGGAGGTAGCTCCCATTTTGGAAGCCCGTGGCTGCTGGCCCTGCGTTCAGGGCTAAGCCATCTCATCCCAGCTCTAAAACAAAAGGGGAAGCAGGGCTTCTGCGTCTCAAACCTAGGCTGGAAATTGCGCCGCCCTGCTTGTAACCATCTGGGTTAGAAAGGATGCTGCGAGGCTGGGAAAGGTGTGCTGTCTTACTCTGTGCAAGCACCAAATCGATGCACATTTTATTCTGTCGGCCTCTGGCAGAGAGGAAGGCTCTGGGAATGAACGACGTGCAGGTGGTCGGTGCATTCGCTGCAGCAGACGGCTGGGGAGGTCGTTGCCCACAGCTCCTCTCCTGGCTGGGTTGCGGGAGGAGCGTAGCTGGGTGGACAGCATGGGGCAGGGGGAGGGCTGTTCCCCCTGAACTGATTTTTCAGGTTTAGGGGGAATGGATTTAGCGGAGAAAGGGGAGGGGAGTGGGATGTGGCAGGTACAGGTTGCTGCCTTGCTGGGCTTGGCTTTCAAATTGGAAGCATCAGCTGCTCTTCTCATCAGGCGGAGGTCAGGGTTGGTCTCTGAGGAAAGCAGCTCCAGGCGGGGGTGAAGATTGGATGAGGGTCTCAGGATGCTTGGAGGAGCCTGGCAGAAGCTCTTGTGAAATCACAGGCCTGGCTTTTCTCAATCTGTATGGTAATTTCGAGCAATCAGTCAGCTAAGGGGGGAAGAGGCAGGAGAGATTAACCCTGCCGAGGAGGATTTTGCGAAGGCAAGGCCGGATTCTCTCCCCGCGCCGGCGTGGGGACGGCTCTGATGTCCCAACTGTGCTGCCTCGGACTTGCCTGTGCATCTCTCGCAGCACTTGGAGCATGGTAAAGGAGCCCAGAGGCTCCTACAAGGGGAATAATGAGGGTCATTAGCTACCTTTTGAGCATATCGCTAATAAACTCTGCGGTTTGTTTTTATCGACCTTGCTCCCAGGCTGAACAGCAGTGGTTTCCCAGCTGGGAGCAGCTCAGGACCACATAGTGACCCTCGTCTCATCTCTGCACGTATTTCCCATCTCTGCTCATGCTGAGGAGCAAAGGGGACGCTTGCGCTGAGCCGAGGGGACAGATTGCACCCTGGGAAAGCGGTCAGTTGATGCAGTTCAATGCCTTTCCAT